AACCTACGTCCACACAAAAACTTATATGTGAATGCATTATTCACAATAGCCAAAAAAGTGGTAAAAACATACAATGTCTATCAACTGATGAATGGATCAGCCAGGTGCAGTGGCTCACGCCTGTAATCCTAGCACTGTAGAAGGCCGAGGTGGGTGGATTGTTTGAGCTCACAAGTTGGAGACCAGCCTTTCTCTTAAGTACCCGGGCAACTAGGTGCCCCTAGCTCAGCGGCTAGGGCCCTGGCCACATACACTGGTATGTCCTGCCTGGTGCTGATGGGTTCAAATCTGGCCCAGGCCTGCCAAACAACAATGACAACTACAACAACGACAATAACAAAATAGCTGGGCATTGTGACAGGTGCCTGTAGTCCCAGCTACTTGGGAGGCTAAGGCAAGAGAATCAGTTAAGACTTTTAAGATTGTTGTGAGCTGTGATGCTATGGCACTCTACCAAGGGCAATATAGCGAGACTCTGTCTCAAAAATAAATAAATAAATAAAAATAAAAAATAGCCAGGCGTTGTGGTGGGAGCCTGTGGTCCCAACTAATTACTCAGGAGGCTGAGGCAAGAGGAACACTTCACCCCAAGTTTTTGAGGTTGCTGTGAGCTCTGATGACAGAGCACTCTACTGAGGGCAACAAACTGAGACTCTGTCACCAAAAAAAAACTGATGAATGAATAAATGTGTCACCTCCATGCAATGATATATTATTCATAAAAAGGAACAAAGTTGTGACACGTGACACATGCCACATGAGTGAACCTTGAAAACATTAAGCTAAGTGAAAGGAGCCAGACACAATGGCCACACGTTGCATGATTCCATTGATATGAAATGTCCAGAATAGGCAAATCCATACTCACAGATAGTAGATTAGTGGTCACCTGGGCTGGGCAGGAGCAGGGAATGGAGAGTGGGGCTTCACGGTACAGGGTTTCTTTTGGGAATGATGAAAATGTACTCCATGGATGTACAAAAAAAGACAATGAATTGTACACGTTTAGAAGGATGAAATCCATGGTATGTAAATCAATTAAAATTTTTTTTAATTAACATAAAATCTGTGCTGAAGAAAATATCGAGCTTTTAAATACCCCCACCAAGCCCGGCCTCTGGGGAAGAACTTATCCCTCACACACCCCTCCTACCTCTTCCTTCTTCCAGTCAAAAGCCTGGACAATATTCCTCCAGTTTGTCCCCTGGGGTAGCCCTAGGCCCGCAGAATGAGGGGCACATACCACTTCCTAGAATAGGTGTGTTGAGGGACTCCTCACCCCTCAAGCTGGGGCAGCTGCATCTTTCAGGGGTGAGGCGGGAGGATCACTTGAGCCCAGGAGTTCAGGGCTGCAGTGAGCTATGTTGACACCACTGCACTCCAGCCTGGGCAACAGAGGAAGACCCCGTCTCAAAATAGTAATAATCAAGCTGTTTGCCCTAATTCAACTCAAATCTGCCTTCTCTGTCCGGCCCCTTCCCATATGTGGTGCTCTGGTTCCTCTCACCCCTAATGACTTTCTCTTTTTTGCACAGGATCTATCCCCTTTGAATATCAGTCTGATACAGTATCCCCCGGCTACATGCAGCTACTGAGCACTTGAAACACTGCTAATGTCACTTCTCAAGATGATGGTGTTTTTGATATATTGTGTTAAATTTTTTAATTAAAAATATTAACAAATTAATTTTTTTTTTTTTTTGCAGTTTTTGGCCAGAGCTGGGTTTGAACCTACCACCTCTGGCATATGGGGCCAGCGCCCTACTCCTTTGAGCCACAGGTGCCACCCACAATAATTTTTTATTAGATTTAATTAAAATTAAATCATGTCATTAGCATATTAATAATACATTGATTATAGGAATACATTATGCCATTCCATCTGAAATAATTTTGATTAGATTAATTAAAGGTGTCTTAGTTTTGGGGGGTTATTTTTTGATACAGAGTCTTACTATGTCGCCCTCAGTAGAGTGCTGTTAAATCACAGCTCACAGCAACCTCTAACTCTTAAGCAATTCTCTTGCCTCAGCCTCCTGAGCAGCTGGGACTACAGGCACCCGCCACAACGCCTGGCTATTTTGTTGTTGTTGTTGCAGTTGTCATTGTTGCTTTAGCTGGCCTGGCCAGGTTCGAACCTACTAGCCTCTGTGTATGTGGCTGGTGCTGTAACCACTGTGCTACGGGCACTGCCTAAGATGTTTTAGTTTTAACATGTTTTTTTTTTTTTTGAGTTTTTTTTTTTTTTTTTTTTTTGAGACAGAGCCTCAAGCTGTCCCCCTGGGCAGAGTGCCGTGGCATCACAGCTCACAGCAACCTCCAACTCCTGGGCTCAAGCGAGTCTCCTGCCTCCGCCTCCCAAGTAGCTGGGACCACAGGCGCCCGCCACAACGCCCGGCTATTTTTTGGTTGCAGCCGTCATTGTTGTTTGGCGGGTCTGGGCTGGGGATTCAAACCCGCCACCTTAGGTGTACGTGGCTGGCGCCTTAGCCGGTTGAGCTATAGGCGCCGAGCCTTAACAATTTTTTTTAACTCATTCTTTTTACTTTTTTGATGATGATACTGAAACATTTTTAATTACATATATTGGCACACACCATATTTCTGTTGGACAATACTGCCCTGTAATTCACTTATGTACATATTCTGTTTATTGTTTATAATCTGTCTTCCTCTGATAGTATGTAAGCCCCATGAGGGCAGGGAAGCCTTTCTTTTTCACTATTATATTCCCAGTGTCTAGTATATTGCTGCAGATATACAGTTGGTGCTTGATAAATATTTCTTTTTTTATTTCAGATTAATATGAGGGTACATATGATTAGGTTACAATGTTTGCATTTGTTAGGTAAGGTCCCTATTGTAGTTGTGTCCCCTGCACCCAGGAGATGTGCCATATACCCTTACATTGTGCCCATTAGGTGAGAGCAATAAATATTTCTTGAATAGTTCAATTTCATTGCAACTAACTGTGTACACTTAGCTTTGCAGACACTTCCCCTCTCCCCCAGATGAAGTCTTGCTGTGTCACCCAAGCTGATCTTAAACTCCTTGGCTCAATCAATCCTCCTGCCTCAGCCTCCTGAATAGCTGGAATTACAGGCAAGTGCCACCATGCTCAGCTCTCTCTCTGAACTAAGCTTTAGTAATAAACTTCATGCTTAGTATAACTCTATGAATTAGAAACTGTTATTATTCCCATTCTGCAAGGAGGAAAGAGAGGTCCAAAGTGGTTAAACGGCTGCTCAGAGCTCCTCAGCACTGGAATACAAGTCCTTCTTTCTGAGCCAGGCAGTCTGACGATGAGGATGAACCAGCTGCTAATGACAGTAGGACCCTGTTTCCTCCAGTGCTTTTTTTTTCTGATACAGAATCTCACGTAGTTGCCCTGAGTAGAATGCCATGGCATCATTCGCTCACAGCAGCCTCAAACCCTTGTGCTTAAACAATCTAGTGCCTCAGCCTCCCAAGTACCTAAGACTACAAGGCACTTGCCACAATGCCCATCTAGTTTTTCCTACTCAGGCTGATCTCAAATTCCTGACATCAGATGATCCACCCACCTGGGCCTCTTAGAGTGTTACGATTACAGGCATAAGCCACCTGTCCTGGTCAAGAGCTTTTTTTTTCACCATAGAGCAAGTTGTCTCAGTGCCCATAGCTCAGTGGTTAGGGTGCCGGCCATACACCAAGGCTGGTGAGTTCGAACCCAGCCCAGGCCTGCTAAACAACAATGACAACTGCAACAACAACAATAAAATAGCCAGGCATTGTGGTGAGCGCCTGTAGTCCCAGCTACTCGGAAGGCTGAGGCAAGAGTTTGAGGTTG